CTCCGCATCCTGTCGGACCCTTCCAAGGAGCTCCCGGTCGACCCATCGGTGTCCATGGACTGGCAGCCCTACCACGCGTCCTACCCCGTCCCCAAGTGCTGCCGCGTCCACATCGACCTCGGACCCAAGCTCAACCCGGAGGGCTACGCCGTGGACCTCGACATGCAGGCCGTCCCCAACTACCTCTGCATGCAGCTCAACTCTCTCTCCCGCGCCCCTCCGTCCCCGGGATGGGGAACGCCGCCCAGGAGGCCAAGACTGCCGCAAGAGGGCCGCGCCCAGCGTGGAGGACGCCGACTCGTTCTGAGTTTCTAAGTCTTTCTAAACTAACATGAGAGTAAAATTCGTAACGTTTATGATGATAATATGATATGGGAATCTACATGTAGAGGTTGCGGGCCGCCGAGTTCAGCGCGCCCGAGATGTCGTCGTCCTCCGAAAGCTCCAAGTCCGAATCCATGCCGCCGTTGAACTGCGACGCTCCCGTCACCATGGCTTGTGGGTTGGCGTTCATGGCCTCTTTTGCCTTCTTCTCTTGCTTGAGCTGCTTCAACTTGGGGGTGGACACCTTCTTGGCTTTGTTCTCGTTGCAGAGTATGATCCAATAATCCAGGTTGTAGCGCGTTGGCATGACCGTGGCTGCATTCCACATGGAAACTTCATCAAAGTCACCTTCCTGTATGTCTTTGGGATCGATGGGCTTGCTGTACAATCTTGTCTGCCATTTTAAAAGCTTGCCTTGCATGGCGAGTGCCTTGGCCTCGTTCATCATCCTCTCGTCGTATGCTTTACGCTTGGTCCATATGGCCTTCTGCTCCTCGGTGATGCCGGCCTTGCCGAGCTCCACCTCCGCGTTGCTCTTCAGGATGTAGAAGTGGACGTACTTCTTGTCGGCGTTCATGTTGTTGATGTTCACCATATGGAGGTACAGGTAGTCACCATCGTGCATGTTTGCCAGGACATCGACCCGGTCACTCCTCCAGATAGGCAATGCGTCGAGCTCCTGGGCCATCACCGACCCGTCTGCCTTGAAGATGATCTTGGAGTGGTCGATTTGGTGGTCCGCCAGGGCCTTCTTGAAGGTCTGGTAATGCATGTTCTCCTTGTTCCAGCTGCCTTTGTAGATCTTGCCATCTTGCTTGGAGTAGGTGGGCATGGCTTGTCACTCCCAGCTCTTCCGATACCGCTCCCCATGGCTTTAAATACGGACCAAAAGAGTGGGCGTGCCATTCTTCCCATTATTTCTTGGCTGCCTGACCTCTCTGATTCCCTTTCCCTTTTCCCTTTCCATTCCCTTTCCCTTTTCCCTTACCGTTTCCATTCCCTTTCCCTTTCCCCTTCCCTTTCCCCTTCTTTGTTTTGTTACTGCCCGGGGGTATTACACCGCGCTCTTTGGCGAGCTTGTGCGACGGGGTGTTTGCTGTATTGGCTTGTTTCTTCTCCTTCTTCTCCCCGGTCGGGTTCTTCGCGGCTGCCTTCAGTGCCTTGGCAAGGGATGTGTTTGTATTGCCACGGACACGGATGGTCTTATTGAATAGAAGTAGACCTTTGATCAAAGCTATCATTTTCTTCGTGGTTGGGGTTATAGTAGTTTCATATGCATTCTCTAGCATGGTAATCGTTTTTTTGATCATACGCTCCTTGATTTCGTTGTATTTCTCTGTCATTTTAAGCAATGTTTTGATCTCTT